CCCCACGGCCAGGCCGCTGGGGCAGAGACGGGGGCCGCCCTGCCTGGGGCCGCCCCACTCACTTTGTGGTACCGGCCGTCCTTGTCCTGACAGCCGCACTGGCTCAGCGGCACACACTGGTCGTCGCTGAGCACGAAGCCCTCGTTGCAGACGCAGCCTTCCAGGCACTCCCCAGGTGGCTTCTCGCAGAGCTCGCTGGCGTAAATATTGTTGCAGGTCGGGGGGCAGGGCAGGGCACAGCTGGAGTAAAAGCTGTTGGGAGGGCAGGGCAGAGCTGGGGGAAGAAAAGGCAGCGGCTTCAGCCAGAGTTCCCGGTTACGCAGAGGCAGACCGGCTGGGGAAGAGCGTTGGCCAGGTCAGGTGTTTTGATGCCCGCCCCCTCTATGGCATGATGACCCGGTGCGGTCCTCTGTTCCTATTTGGACTTTTCCTCTTTCACCTCACCGATTCTTCCCTGGACACCCCCCGCCCCCCGATTTGCTTCCCAGGGTGCTTACGGCAGAAAGTGCTGTTCCTCCACTGGATGGTGACTCCCTTGGCCTGGCAGGCATCTGTGTAGGCTTGCACCACCGCGCACAGCGTGGCACGCATCCCGTCATATTTGCACATGTCATAGATGCAGGTCTGGATGAAGAGGTCTGGCTGCACCAGGGGGTGGCAGGGGACAAAGGCACTTGATTGCAGAACGTGGCACTGCTCTTCCACAGACGGTCGGGCTTCGGGGGTGCAGGGCGGACCCAGCTCTGGACGTGTGTCTGGCAGGCAGCTGCAACAGAGGCAGGTGGAAGGGGTTTGACCGGGGAACTAGACACGGAGTGGGACTAGGTGCCTCTCAAACTCAAGGGGAAGGGGGGCGGCCCCAGCCAGCAGCCCTGGCAGCATCTGCAGCTCCTCCAGCAGACCAAGGCTGGGAACCCCTCACAGCTCAACTACTGCATTGGCTTCTACACGGGGCTGCCCTAGAAGACCACTTGGAAGTTTTAACTGGCCCAGAATGCAGTGGCACGGGCAGGGGTGGGCTTGCCAAGGCATACCCATGTGACACCTCTGCATTGCGATCTGCACTAGTTATCAGTGTGCTTCCAGGTGTGATTCAAGCTGCTGGTTGTTCCTTGTAAAATCTGGCATGGCATAGGGACCAGTTATTTGAGGGGGCACCTAACTGCCGAGGCTTCTGCCTGGGCAGTATGAGCTGACAGGGTTGGCACAGTCTGGATCCCTTTGATTAAACAGCGTCATCTATTGGGACCCCAGAAGCGTGCCTTTTGTGTCATGGCACTGCCCTCTGGAATGCGATGCCCCCTGAGATCCAGTTGACTCCCACCCAGATTGCATTCTGGAAGGCCTTAAAGACTTGGTGGTTCTCCCAGGCCTTGGTGTCGGGTGGATGGAAGCCCTTATCGGATGTCCTTGGCAGATGGTTGCATCTGTCTTTGGTGGATTTTCTGTGTTCATTTATTTGTTTTTTAAATCTTGTTCTTTTATATTCTGAGTCACCCAGAATCAATTTGGAGTCAGGTGCCACCGTCATAGAATTAAATAAGTAAATAAATAAATGGCGGGCGGGCAGGGGGACACACCTTGAATCATCAGGATCTTCCACCTTCCAACTGTTCCCAAACTGAGTGACGTTCTTGGCCTGGGATCCATCGGGCATCAACAGCTCATCTTCCGTTCGGCCATTGTAGTTCCCACAGAGGCCACGCACCTGAAGACAAGAGGGAGGTTCACAAGTGCTCCTGGACCCCAAGTCCAAAGCACAGACCCTAATGCACAGCATGGCCGTGTTTCCATCTGCCGTTGCCTGGTAGAATGGGGTAGTTTCATCCTCAGAGCATCGGGGCAGTTCAGTGCCTCATTCCAAACCATCCTCTGATGGTTCAAGATGCTGAGTGAATCTAGAATAGGGGCTTCATTGGTGGGAGGAATGCTGTGAAGACATCTGTGATGCCTTGGCTAGCCCTTTCCCGGAGGAGTTCCTGGTTCTTCAGAGGTCACCTAAATTAATTCAGGGTTTTCTGAAGAGGAGGCCTGTATCCATTTCCCCAAACTCGCTGCTGTCCAGAGATACTGGGCTTCAGCTCCAAAATTTTTGCTTGCCCCTTATGGGAGTTGGGGCTGCACATATGGAAGACTGACAGAAGGTTAGAAAGGGTGGGGCTTCAGCAAGGCAAGTTTGACACAGGGATGTGAAGTTCTGCATGCTGTCCAAATATAAGATGCAGATACATGCTCCTCCCTTTGTTGTGAGATGAAGTCCAGGGCATCCAAGGAAACTGGCAATCAATACAGAACAAGCAGAAGAAAGCTCTTATTCACATAATGCACAATTAACTTATGGAACCCAGTGCCAGAAGATGGAGACCAGGGTTAAACCCATTTGCAGAGGACCAAATAACTCTTAGCTGTGATAGCTCAATGGGATTCCATTTTCAGAAGCAGACGGCCTCCGATAGTCAGCTGATGGAAGGTGACCAGCTAGGGACCGGCCAACTGACTTGAATCTTATTTGGGAATTTCCTAGAAGTACTTGGCTAGCTATTGCTGGAGCCAGGATGCCAGGCTCAGAGGATCTTGGGCCTAACTCAGGAAGCCCATTGGTGTGCCTTAGGAGAACTACTAGTGAGCAGGAGAAGTCAGAGCCATAGAGCTGTGGTTGAGGGTACCAGCAGGAGTGTTTGCTCCCAAGAGATGAAGCTGAGAACAAACCCAACATTTCAGCCTTCACCTGGATCCCTTTTCATCTGAGACTCACCTGAGAGAAGTAGGAGCTTGGCAGGCTGATCTCCAAGTACTGATTCCCATCATATTTCACCATCAGCCCAAAGTCAGTTTCCATCACCACGTAAATTCCGACGTTCCCCACTGTCACGGAATTTTGTTGGTAGCGGCTTTCCACTGGTGTGTAGGTTCTCATGCTGTTGAGCTATGGAGGACAGTCATGAGTCAGCACTAGGATGGAAGCAGCATGCGCACATGGCCAGAAAACTGCGGTGTTTCCTTGGTCCCCCCACTGGGAGAGCCACAGAACTACTTGGCTCTTCCCAAAGGATTGAACGGTTCTGGAAAGTCCCTGTGAACAAGCGCAGACTTCAAACCAGCCACGGCTATAAAGGGAGACTCAATACACGCCTAAACTGAAGCTCAGTCAAAAGTGACTGGTCACTGGCAAGTGCCCAGAAGACCTGAAGCCACCCCAGTTCCCGTTTGTACCAGAATCTTCTTGTTTTTCTGGAGCGTGATCCGGATGTCGTACACGTCCACATGGACCTCCCGAAGGTAGGTGGCTCCTCGTAAGCCTCTGTCTTCGTTTTTCCCAGTGATGTTGAAGGGGGTGACGGTGCATTTCTGGCTGTTGTCACAGGCAGTGACCAGGGTATACAGGCAGGTACCCAGGAAGGTGTGCATTACTTTGTCAAAGGTGTAATAATGGGGATCACCAACCACGTGGCATGATGCTCGGCCTGCGTGATGCAAGGAGACTTGGCTAAGCTCAAGGGGGCATATTTACAATGGCTGTGCCACCCTGGACCCCTTCTGAAGATTAATCTCTCTTGCTTTCCCCTCTCGCTGTACCAAGTCTGTCTGGTGTGCTCAGGACCAAACCCCACCTCCTCCCTGGAGACTTTCCTCGGAGCTTCTAAGGGACTGGTCTGTTGGGCCAGAAGACCGATCTCTCCTCTTTGCCCTTGGAAGGCCAGCATGTTACGCTGATTTGCCGGCAGCTCTGTCAATTCCCCATCCTGCCCATCACAAAACGTATGCCAGTCTGAAACGCTGGCCATCACTAAACTTACTCTTGGTGTAGCAACCCAGCACTCCATCCTGAACAGCGCATTTCTCCTGCACGCCACATTGCCACGCTGTGCACGTGATGCTGTTGTTGTGCCCGCAGGTGCAGCGTTCGCTGCAGAGCTCACTGGTGAACCAATTCTCCCCCAGCTGCCAGAGTAAGAGGAGGAGGAGATCATCAGTTAGGAAGCCACTGTAGCCGCGTGACTTCCCCTGCAGAGATGCCCCCCCCATCACCCCTTCTTGGGTGCGGGCTGCTCCAGCCCAGCCTCCCTGTCGCTCAGCCCTTTCTGTCTCTGCCGGCTTTCCGCTTCCCCCAGATTGCACCTCGGATGGCCCGAGCTCTGGATCCCGTGTCCCGTCGAATACTGGTTCCGAAGAGGCAGATTTCCGCCCCTCTTCTGGAGCGCAGCCCCTCTGTTGAGAGAGCCTGCAGCACAGAAGCGCATGCGGGCCAAAGCCAGCCCAGATCACGCCCCCCACCTCCCACGCCAGAAGAGAAACACCCGCCTGGTAGTAGTTGTGCTGGTGATCCACACAGCCGCAGTCGCTCCTGCTGACACATCTGTCTCCACTCAGGACGAACCCTTCGTCACAGAAGCATCCTTCTACTGGTAATGGGCTGCAGGGGGGCAGCCCTGGGGGCGTAATGCAGCTGGAAGCACACCGGATCCCACAGCTGCTGTAATGACTGTTGGCAGGGCAGGAGATGGCTGGAAGAGACGCCAGAGCAGTCACGGGAAAGACCTCTCTCACCCACACGTAACTTTTCATATGAAATCCCAGGACTTCAGCTCCCCTAAACTCTAGTCAACATGGCCAAGGGACTGAGGAGGACAGGAGAGGAGAGGGGTGTGTGTGTAGAGCCAGACTGGTTGCCTGTTGCCAGGGCCGTGAAGTGGAGGAAAGGGGAGAAGAAGAGGAGTGGGGGGGGGGAGGTAGAACAGGCAGGCGACGAGGAAGAGATAAAAAGGAAGAAGGCAGCTGGGAGGGGCTGAGAGGTGAACTGGAATGGCCCAGGGCGAAACTGACAGCCGAGAGCAGCTTCGCCCACTTGGTAGTGGTAAGGGGAGAGGTTGGGCCATTAAGCTCCCCGTTACGAGGCTCAGTCCTTCTGTTCAACATCCCACATGAAGCCACTGTCCCCCGCCGGGACTGAGCTATTATCAACACGTTGCTGATGCCTAGTGATAGACCCCAGGGGCCATGGGGTCTGTGATGTGCTAGAGGTCCTGACCCAGTGCCTGGACTTCCAGACGTGCAAGATCAATGCCGGCCTCCCAAGTAGAGCAGACAGGAAACACGACAAGATGGACTAATTCAACTTCGTTGTAAGGCCACATTAACAGAATCTGGCAAGTCTGAAGTACAAATCTCCCGCCGTCCCTATTTACCACCTGATCAGTTAGGGCGGGTCCTTCCTAAGTTTCTCCCTCTGCCCGTCGCCCAGCTGCGGGCTCCTCCCCCTTTTGTCTGATCCTTCCCTGGGCGGCATCTCTTCCCCCGTCGTCTTCCAAGGCCGTTCCCGCTCCCGTTCCGTCCTTGGCCCCCTCTGCCACGGCTCCGCTCCCCCCCCCCCAAGCACAGCACTCACGGCAGAGGGTGGCGTTCCGCCATCCCACACACACTCCCGCGTTGGAACACGATGCAGCGTAAGCTTGCAGCCCGTGGCAGACGGAGGTCTGCTGTCCCTGGGTGAGGCACACGTCATAAATGCAATTCTCCAAGAAATGGGTTGGGTCCAGCACAGCATGGCACTGCCTGAAGGGGCCTGTGCGAAAGAAGAAGACGCCTCAGCACTGCCAGAGCCCCTCGGCGCTCCCGTTGCCCTGGCCGCTGAACAGACAAAACGCCGGTACCTGGACAGGACCTGTTGCCCAAATGGCTCCTCTAGAGAAAGCCTGCAGCTCGGCAATCAGACGTAAAGGGGTCTCCGAGTCAAAGTCATTTGCACAGAAATTTTTCTCAGCCTTGCTGCTACCCGGGACTCTTTTTAAACCGGTGGTGCCACAGATGGCAAAGCATCCGCCACAGACTCAGAGCGTGCACGGCAAATAAAACCTACCTCCGCCCTTTACCTTAGAAGCCCAGCTTGCCCTTTCAAGCGCAGTGTGAGCCGTTCCGTCCCATCTAGGGCTAAGGCATTTATTTACCTGTTGGATCTGTGATCAGGTGGCAAGCAGAGTCCCTCTGGAGTTCATCCTCGAGCTCCGGCGCACACGGTTCTGATGGGCTGGAACATCTGCCAGAGGGGGGAATAGCTCAAGACGATCCCATTTATGGTCTTCTTGAGCTACCAGTCATCTTTATTGGGAGGGAGGGACATTGAGTCCCCCCCCATGAAAGATGATGGGGAATGATGGGAAGCACAATTCAACATCTGGGGGGCCCAATCAAGCTAAGAAACACTCAGCTTGAAGTCTCTTCTCTCAGCTCAACAGCTTTTATCGATTGCGAGTCAAGTCTTATCGTTCCTGTTCCTGATGCCTATTTTACCAGGCTGTCCTAAGAGCTATCAAAAGGGTTATTGTGGGACACTATGAGAGCTCCTCTGTAAGAACAAATGATTGATGTGGTACCACAAAGAGGGCAGCCCAAGGGATCATGGCCAAGAATTCTGAGAGTTGTGATCAGGGATAGTCTCAGCCACCACCTTGACTTTTCTGACCCCTTCTGGACACCTCTGGTTGTAATTCTAAGACATCTGAAGGCACCAGGTTATGGCAGGCTGACAAAGATATTTTGCGGAGGATGAGTCTAGAGGCCTTTGAACAGGGGAAGCGTCATCTACAAGGAAGACACTTGTAGCTCTAAGAGTCACGGAGCGCTTTGGGCAGTCGCTCCACAGCCATCCTTATGCCGCCCGCCACTTACTTGCTGTAGTTGCCTGGGACAAGCCAACTGTTTCCGAGCTGGGTAGAGTCTCCTGCAGGTTGTCCATCTGGCTTTAGGTTGTCATCTCCTGGATTCCCGTTGAAATTACCTTTGGGGGAGGGGGAAGAGAAAGCATTCATCTCTGGGGCCCCATTTCTTTATCTGATCAGCATTTAACATTCTGTTCGAAAGGGGCGACCACTGCCCTCTCCTGGCCAGGCAAAGAGCTGCAGGACCGCAGGTCTTTGCTCCCTCCCTTGCTGATCCATCGCTATCATCCTCCAGGAGCTGCCCTCCCTTGTCCGTAGCAAGGGCCCACGTCTCACCGCACAGGCCGCAGAGCAGCCCCTCGTATGCACGTGGCAGGGAGACCTCCACGTGTTGGTTCCCATCAAAGCGGATGCCCAGGCCAAAATCTGTTTCCAGGAACACGTAGCTGCCGCTTTTCTGCACCACAACCTTGTTGCCCTCGATGAACACAGGCAGGTTCCTCCGAGCCCCGTTGACCTGGGGAAGATTTCCAAGAAGAGTCATACCCTGCAACCCCCAAGCAAATGACTGCCCCACACCCTGCAGTGAAGCCGAGGAAGCCTCCTTGCTGCTTTTCTCCATGTGAGAAAGAGCACTCAAGAAGGGTATGTATAAATAAACAAACAAACAAATAATCCTTGGGATCTGTCCTCCTTGCTCCTAAAAGCCAAGGGCCACTCCCAGGACACGGCCAGGCCTTTCCCAGCAGCTGCCCACCCGCTCTGCTCAGGGCAACTCCCAGCACGGGGTCCAGGTAGCTTGACATAGATCGTTTTCTAAGCACAACCAACAAAATTAGTTGGGCCAAAAAACTTCCACAGCTCTTCCTCCCAACCTGCCCAGCCAGGTGCTCTGTGTCCTCTTTGAGGAATAGGGAGGTTAAAAATAGGCTTGTTTTACATAGGACAATTTGTTTGTTATTTATTTAATCTATTCTATTTATAGATCTGCCCATCTCACATAAGTGACTCTGGGCACCTTACAAAATACATAATATAAAATAAAAACACATAGCAGCTGAGCTTAATAAATGGCCATCAACAACGCCAAGAGGCGGGCTCTAGTGTGCTCCCGGGGCTCCAGGCCCAGGCACAAAACCACGTTTCAGGGCCTTGAGAAAGGCCAGCAGCGTCGGGGCTCACCTAATTTCAGGAATGCTATAAGAACAGTTGTATTCCCCTGAAGAGAAGACAGCCCTGAATTTAAGACTACAATGCTCTCTCGAAAAACAAAACAGCAAAGGAGAACTGGAATAGCTAATCTGTGTTAGCCTCTGCTCAGCAAATCTAAGACGATTCCATCATTTGGAAGAAACATTATTTGGCAAAAAAACACCCTGCCTTCCTTTTAGGGAAACGTGCTATTCGTTTTTTAAAAAACAAATTATATATCCATTTGCAGAGCTAAGTTATAAATCAAGAAAAAATGATTTCTGGAAATCTTACAAATTCTGGGCATCTCCAGGGCAAAAACCTGTTGGACGTCCAAAGGGGACGAGACGCCTGGGCTGGCAAAGGCCTTCCTGTGCCTGAGAGTCCAAGAAGTGTGGCCAGCCGGAAAAGACTCCTCCCCTTCCCACCTGCTCCCTCCGAGAGCTCCCAGGATGCAGTTCCCAGCGTTCCCGGTCAGTGGGGCTCTGCTGGCGGAGAGTCTCAGTGGCAGCCTCAGAAACTCACTCCGTGGGTTGGCTCAATTTCCTTTTTGCCTGCTTTCTCAGGATATGGGCACACCTCCCACAGCGGCCATGGAGAACCTCGTAGAAAGGCCTGCTAGAGGTGGCCCTGCCCATACAGGCTCTAGAGTTGCCTTTTGAAGGAAGGCAAAAATCGAGATCTGGGGGTAGCTAAATTCTGCCGCGGCCATACCAGGCTCACCCACTCTCAGCATGCGTGAAAGTCTGTCACCTCTGCAACCAGCTGCCCAACCATTCATGGATGACCTCGCCCTGACATTTTGGAAAGACGGTGCCACCCTGCAGCCCCCAGCACCTGGGTTCCCTTACATTAACTCTCCTGTTCTTCAGCAAAGACACCCGGTTTCCATACACCTCCACGTGCACTGAGTTGACATAGGACACAGCCTGGTTCAAGCCTCGGTGTTCATTGGAGGTAGACACATCAAAGACACCCAGGCCACTGCTGGAATCGGTGCAGACTTTGGCCAAGGTGTAGGTACAGTTGCCCATGAAATGGTGGACCCGGCCATCAAAGGTGGTGTAATGAGGGTCGCCTGAGGCCATGCAGACAGCACGGGCTGTGGGGGAAAGAAAGAGGGCATTGATTGGTTGGAGATCTGTTCATGAGTAGCATGGTCAGCAAAGCTGCCACAAACTAAACAGCTAGAAGATTTCTGCTCACAAAATCTAGCAACTCATGCAAAAAGTGTGTGGTAGCAGGATTCCCCCCGCTCCATTCCTCCAAAACCCCCTTAATGAGGTGTGAAGTCTCCCGCTTCCTCCAAATTTCTCTCCAGAAAAACAGCCTCTGCACTCAGAGATTTAAAAACAGGAACAGAAGGAGTAGAACAATCTTGGATCCAGCCTTGGAGTCAGGAAAGGAGGAGATGGTTTCTAAGCACTTTTCAGCTCAGAGTTGGGGCAATTTTCCAAGAGCTCCACTTGAACACTCTTGGAAGGGCAAGGGCTGCAAACCAGACATGACAATCTCATACACAGGTGGGGCTTGGCTTTACCATACTGGGTGATTATATTTCTGCTGTTTCTCTATATTGTTCTAAGTTCTTGTACAGCTTTTCGGTGTTGTTAGCCACCCAGAGGCATGAATTTGAGATGGGCGGCCACATACTACCTGCCTCATCTTTTCCTACTGGAAATGTGCAGCTGGATTGAGGCCGTGACTATCCTTCAGGAATTGCAGCCAAGAAAGATTTGAAATGCAGCATTACCTGGGACAGGCGGTTCCGTGGGAGTGGATGTTGGTTCTGGTGGACGAAGGAGAGAAGCCAAGTTATGATCAACCCTCCCATTGTCATTCATCCCCTTAGCAGAGATGGAGTGTTGGTGTCGACCGTTATGGCTTTCAGCCCCCTTAGCCAACAGGGTAGACAGGAAACCACCTGTGGGTTCCTGCCCTGTCTTTTCCTGCTTGAAATGTGCACCTAGACTGAGGCTGTGGCTATCCTTCAAACATCATAGTCACGATAAATTTGAGGGCCAGCATTACCTGGGCTGGTCGGCTCCACGGGAGTAGGTGTTGGTTCTGGTGGACAAAGGAAAGAGGCTGGGTTGTGATCAACCTTCCTATTATCAATGCTACACCTTATGACCAACCCTTTGATAAGAAGGAATGCCACCTTATGATCAACCCTTCCAGTGTCATTCATCCGTGTAGCAGAGGGAGAGTGCTGGTGTCTACCCCATGGCTGTCAGCCCCCTTAGCCTTGGGGTAGACACCAGACAGGAAAGCACATGTGGGGCCCAGCCCGCCTTTTCCTGCTGGAAACATGCAGCTGGATTGAGGCCATGCCTATCCTTCAAACATCGTAGTCACGATAAATTTGAGGGCCAGCATTACCTGGGCTGGTCGGCTCCACGGGAGTAGGTGTTGGTTCTGGTGGACAAAGGAAAGAGGCCGGGTTATGACCAGCCCTCCTATTATCAATGCTACACCTTATGACCAACCCTTTGATAAGAAGGAATGCCACCTTATGATCAACTCTTCCCCTGTCATTCATCCCCTTAGCAGCGGGAGAGTGCATGTCCTTAGCAAGGGAGAAACTTAGGGTGAAGAACACCTTCGCCACCCCAGAACTTCAGAACATGAATGGATTGTGAAGCCCTGCCAAAGGAGGGGCAATGGCAGTGGGGGCAGCTGGTGAGACAGAGAGTTTCCACATCCGGCACCTAGAGAATTCACGCTGCCAAAACGAGGTAGCTACTTTTGGCAGCTCCGCACACGGCTTAGCGCTCATTGGCAGGAACTCTGTGGAACTGTACGGCAACGTTTCCACAAAGTACTTCCGAGGGTGTGGGATGTCTTTCCAGAATCCTGCTTCTTTAACTGCTCGGATCTCATTTGCTAGCCCCCGTTGACACCTTCAGAATAGCTGGAAGCCACCCGAGTC